AGAAGGAGAAGAAGGAGAAGAAGGAGAAGAAGGAGAAGAAGGAGAAGGAGAAGAAGGAGAATGAGAAGAAGGAGAAAGAAAAAGAAGCCGCTGGTACGAAGGCTCAGGGCAAAGATTGACTGAGGCGTCCTGTACGAGCAGCTCATGCGCGTGGAGCAGTAGAAGCTGCGAAAGAAAGGCGTGTTGGACATTTTGGCCCAGAGGACTGTCGCTTTTCAGTCGGCGAATCAGCGAAGCAGAACGGAGGATGAGAGGGCAGGGGCATTGTAGCTGGCCAACACTCAGCCGCGCCATCGATGTGGGCCCTCGCCAACAGCAAGCGCAGGGGTACTGGCACCTGGAGATGGCTGGCTGGGAGGTGGCCGGACGAAGAGCTGTAGTGATTTATTCAGGCGTAGCGGCCTGGGGCTTATAGGGCATATACAGGAGCGTGTTCATTGCTTCTGCGGTGGCCGTTGCCAGGTGAAATGCACAACGCTTGGGTGTCTTCGACGCAGGTCTTTTTCCCTTTCCTCCATATAGTCAGGGGTCAAGTGGTGGAGCTTCAGCAGCCTAGTTATATATATATAGTTCTTCCGAGAGCTTGACCCACTGGTTTGCTGCCTGACAGATCTGTCAGAGGGCAATCATGCTCGGCCTTGCCCGCAACTGATGGCCTTGATCAGGACTACTCCAGCGGCCAAAAATCCAGTGGGGTTACGCTCAGCCATTGCTACAAGTTTTGTTTCTTTAGCGCGCAATGCATATTGCATGCCTTGTTTTAATATACCCGTGGGTCCCATTGACTTTGTCCAATACTGCAGCGGGTTGACTCATGGGCAGCTGACTATCATGTCCGGTAGAACTTGGTTGAACCACGTCCAACATCTCTTGTTGCACATCTTGAAGCTGCAACGCTAAACACGTGGAGGCCTCAATAGTCTCAACAGTGACTTGGCTGGCCGGGGTGGACAGAGTTGTCATTTGTTGCATATCCACGCATGGGCACTTCCTTGGCTCCACAAGCGTGCGCTGTCTATGACAAACATATACCCGTACAAACATCATGGGGAAGAGGCCGGGCTGGCTCGGTTGCAATTGGTGACAAGCGAAAGGCTGAAGATGTTGGAGGTCTTTTCTGTTTGGAACAACTTTGCAAGGTGCAGGAGGGTTGGGAGGAGGACCCTAGAGAATATTGGAGTCTCAGGGGGCTGGACCGGATGCATGCCAGAATGGCGTGAAAGCATTGTTTGTGTTTAAGCTTGCTGCATCATACATACAACTTTCCAGCGTGAAAAGATTTCAATGCGGCTGCAGTTTTCGGAAGAGTCTGATAATTCCGTGGTTATGCATCAGTCAGGTTTGGAAGGCTTGGGTTTGCATGTTTCATCTCACTGCTGATTGCCGGTGTTATGACATGTTATGACATATATATTTTTACTGTGATACTATATAATATTATCCCATCATAATCCCCAGATAGCGGCGAGAGCTCTTGGGGTTCTTACCCCGAGTATAGGAATAGGTGCCTGTGTGCGCTTTGGAACTTGGCTGCTGGTGCCGCAGGGTGCCGCTGCCAGATGTGTGCCTGTGTGCGCTTTGGAACTTGGGTGCTGGTGCCGCTGCAGGTGTCTCTGCCAGATGTGTGGCCATGTGCGCCTTGGAACCAGCCACTGGAGGGCGCTGCAGAGTGCCGCTGCAGTTGTGCAGCTGCCCCACAAATGTGTTTTTGCTGTGTGGTCGGTGCCGGCCTAATTCTTTTGCTATACATCTTGTATTGCACTATGTATATCAATACAATGACGTGCCACGCCGCTTTGAAGCCGCTTAGAGAGGGAATCATAGGGTTCTAGCCTGGTGACTGTACAGCTGCCCTGTTTGTTGGCTAGTGGATAGCGCCCCTGCTTTGCGCTAAGGCACCGAAGGCGTCGCCTTTGACACTGTAGTATTGCAGGTGGGTAAGGGCTCCGCTGAAGAACGCTTTATCATTGGCGCTTCTTGGCCACATGAATCATGGTCATGGGATATAGGCTGGGTGTGGCTTGGGCCATACTATATCCATTAATCTACTGTAACTGTGAACTCTGCCAACACACTACCGTTTTTTGTTTCAGAGGTGATCGATGACGGTCATGGAAACTTAGGAGGTTCTCCGACATCGCTATTGCCCACTGCTTTTGAGCCTGGCTTCCAATCCGCAGGTGGTGCTGTATCAAACCTGGATTCCTGGCCAGACAAGACGGCACATGAATACGCAGATGTGTGCTCAATCAAGTGCTGTGAGGGCCCGGGTGCTGTGCTACCCCCAGAAAAAAGCATCGCCGTGGGTGGCAGTTTAGACAAGACGACTAGTAGAATTGTGTATTCGATTGTCATACGCCCATATTACTATATGAATAGAAGAACAACAGCAGTAGCAACAATAAATAACAGCAATCATACATATAAATATATATATATAGGTTATTATATATTTGTCTATCAAGTTCCTTGGGTCGTTTGAGGTCCACAGCTTGGCCAGAGCCCACCGAAGGAGAGGAACTCACCGCTACCCTGGAGGAGTGCCTGCCACTTCGACACTCCAACCATTGCCTGTAGATTGTCATTTCTGGAAAACACGTTTTCTTTGGTTTGACCGTGGGTGCAGAAAAGGATCAAGTTTCTGGAGATGTACTCGATATATATACCTTGTTAACTAGCCAAATCCTGGGCCAAATCCAACCCAAAGGGTTGTTGTTTGGTTGGTCACTTGAATGAGGAAAGTTGGATGCTGCAAGCCATGAACCTTAACTGGTAGACGACATAGGTGGAGGACCCCTTGCGTCTTCGCAATAGGAGTACCGCTCAGTGATGCTCGCGGCCGGTATGACAGTCACGTGGCTAGCAACATGGTTTGTGAGTTCTTGTAGGATACGCACTCAAAGTCACGAGCAGAAAGCTGCTTTAGCTCGATCACCCCCATTGAGGAAGTGGTGCTGGCCAGAGCTGGCCATGCATTCCTTCATCTCAAAGCTGACAATCGTATTTATCCTGCCTTGTGGAAAGATGATATGGGCCATGGTTCCGCCCTCGCAGGCCCTTTCTGCAGTGCTTTTGTAGCGTTGACGCTCCAGGCTGTCTTTGCCAGGTGTCCTTGTAGCCGCAGTGCTGGCTTTGGCCTTGAAGTTGACAAAGGGCGAGCGCCTGGGGAGGCCAGCTCACTTTGACGGGAAGAATTCAGAGAGGTCAAACCAGCATCAAACCAGATTCCCTCAGACTCAGACCTGTCAATGCTGAAAGAAGTAAAGATGGACATTTGCTTGACCTACCTTGCTCTCCCAACACCTTAGCAGATTGAGCAGCTCCACAGATATGTTTCACGCGCAATCCCGTGGGCCAATGGCTCTCTCTCTCCAAGGATCCTCGAAGCGCTGCTGCCCAGTGCCTGGAGGACGGCGAGTCCCGGCTTTGCAGGCGAGGAACGGGTAGGGCGGCTACAAGACAACTAGGGCGAGCACATTAGTAGCAATGGCCTCCCTAATAATCCTAATAGCGATGGCCATTGTTTTTATATGTCTATGGGATTTGACCTTTTCCAGCAGTGGTGCTCTTCATCCCTTCGAGGTGCTGCAGAATTTGGGCAGAAAGCTTGGCGCGAAGACGGTGCCGCAGCTGCAAAGAATTGATGCATTGACGGCAGGTCAGACAGCACGAGACTTACTGTAGTTTTGGCAGTGTGCCTGGCAGGCAAAGGAGCACCGGCTGCGGTGATGAATCTTTTGAACGATCCCGAGCCTCGAAAACAGGTGAGATCACGTAGAATGGACAGAATCACGCCGAACAGTTGAGGCAAATGGTGTTCCAGAGTCTAACGGGTAGGTGCACGCAACCGAGGTACCAGTAAAGTATGAAGGTGTGAGTTTGCATGTGGCAAACCAAGCCACTTGACAGTATGGATGTTTCATGTGTGTGGCCATCATGGCCCGAATGCCCCTGTTTCCACCACTAGCGGTGGGCGATCGATCCTGACGCCAATGGCATTGTGAAAAGGGCGCGACTTCGCGTGCCGCCCGACATTTCGTGTTCGAGAACTTCGTGAGTTTCGAGCCTCCACTCGGTCCCCTGCACTTCCGCACCAGTGTCCGAGTGACATTGGTAGCGGAGCTACCACGCTCCGGGTAGCTCCCTGCCGATCTCCGCAACACTACATCATATCCACCTTCAAAGCCCACTTCACCTTCCACGGAAACTGCACCAACAACCTTGTCATCTTCTTCACGCTCAGGAGCAGTGCTTACACCAGAGCTCTTTGACCTTGCTGAGTTCTACCGCACTCGCTCCCACCAGAGCTCTTTGACCCTGACGAGCTCTACAGCACTTGTGGTGACACCTCCTTCAACCTGAAGTATGGCTTCTACCACGACCACGGAAAAGAAGGTCGAGTTCGACAACCACTCGGCCCGGGATAGTTTCATCCCGCTCTTCGATGGCTCCCTAACGGGATACCGCGAATGGCGGAAAAGAATCTTGATCTACTACAGAAAAATGTCCCTGTCAAAACGGCAGGGCGAAGCGATCTTGAACCTGCTGGGCAGCCTCTCAGGAACAGCGTGGAAGTTGTGCGAAGACTTCAACCTGGATAAGGCAGAAGACCCAGAAGCTCTCCAAGAGATCTTGAAGATCTTGGACGGTTCCTTCCAGTATGACGCCAATGTCGAGATGCCTGCCGACTTCTCGTCCTACTTTGAGCATTTGGCTCGCAAGCCAGGTCAGACCTTGTTGAACTATGTGACGGACCACGATGACCGGCTGAAGCAAATCGAGAAGCATGGTGTTCGACTACCGACACAAATCCAAGGGTGGTTCCTCCTGACTAAGGCCGCCCTGACACGTGAGCAAAAGCAGATGATCATGACACAGGCCGCCTCACTTGAACGAGCCAAGATTCAGCAAGCGATGTTTGCCATCCTCGGCCAAGACTACAAAGGTGGCGGTCAGCTCCTCAGAGACCGCTGGAACCGTGCTGGATCCGGCAAGGGCCGTTCATACTTTGCTGGCGATGACTCCGAAGCCTTTTTCGAATGGGATGACAACGCCCCGACCTATGAGGAGGAAGATAATGCCTACTACATGGATGATGAAGAGAACTATGATGACCAGTGGTGGGAGTCATTCGATGCCGATGCCGCCTACTACCAGGAAGAACCTGATGAACACGAGCATGAGTTTGACACCGAAGAGTACGATGAGGCCTATGCTTCATACGTTGATGCTCGCAAACGCTTCAATGATTTGAAGCTCAGCAGAGGATTCCTTCCTGTGGTGGCTCTCCAGGACTCTGGCCCTTCATCGAGTTCCACCTCCTCGCAAAAGCCTTTCAAAGGCATGGGAAAAGGGAAGAAAGGAAAAGGCAAAGGAAAAGGAAAGAGCAGCACCTATCGCTATGACCGACCTCCTGGAAAGCCTGCAGATCCAAAAGGGCGAGCTCGCGCAGCAATGGCTCCAGCATGTATGCGATGTGGTTCAACGTTCCACAAGACAGCTCAATGCACACAGACGAGCTCTACGCCTAAACCGGCAACTACGACAAGCGGCAAGCGCCAAGCAGTTGAAGGAATGGCCATCTTGCAAGACGAAATGACCTTAGTCATGCTTGAGGACTCCTTTGGCCATGAACGCCCTGACTGTGCTATGTTGGACCCTGGCGCTTCATCGTTCTTGATGGGATCAGGTCCCTTGGTCCGCTATGTCAACCACCTCCGGCAATTGGGCTATGACACTGACAAGCTCCAACTACAGCGCTGCCATCGAGTTTTTCACTTCGGGGGTGACCACCAGAAGGTCAGTTCTTGGGTAGCCAAAGTGCCAGTCTACCTGAATGGACAACATGGACTGATCCAAGGCTTCGTCTTGTCTGGTGAAACTCCTATGTTGGTTGGAAGACCCGTGATTCGCGCCTTGGACATGACCATCGACTTCTCCCAGCAGAAAGTCAAGTTTGGTGACGCTGACTGGCAAGATGCAGTTCTCGGTCGCCACGAGGAGTACCTCCTTGACCTCACGTCCTCGTTTGAGACCGAGCAGCTGACGTGGGAACCCTCCTTCGACCTTCAGCTTGATGAGAAACTGGGCGACCCTGGCTCTATGGAAGACTTCTTGATGGAAGAGCACCTCTACCAAGTTGAAGAACAGATGCCACCAGAGGACACGTCTCCCATGACCACCAAGCACTGGAAGACCTTGATCATGCACACCCAAGCTCAGCTGAAATCGATGAACACCTTGGTTGATCAGGCCATCAGACAAGAACATCAAGCTCCTCCTCGTGTCCTATGGGAAGTCTATACCGGAAGAGCTCGACTGTCGCAGATGGCTGAAGTAATTGGCATGACCGTCAAAACGTTCGGCTTTGAGACAGGATGGAACTTCGCGCTCCAGTCGCATCAGCGCGCCTTCCTGGAACTACAAGACCAAGAGATGCCGGACGAGATCTACCTGTCTCCCAGTTGCGGTCCATGGTCACGCATGCAGAACATCTCTGCAACTTCCGAGCAGAGAAAAGAAGTACTTCGAGGTCTTCGAGAATGGCACCACAGGACCCACCTTCAGTTCTGCAAGCGAGTCTATTTGAAGCAGTTGCACTCAGGACGACATGGACACATTGAGCAGCCAACTTCAGCATTGTCTTGGGACACAGCAGCGCTTCACTCCTTGCCTGGCTATCGAGCACGACATCATCAATGTCAGTATGGTGCTATGTGCATGGATGTTGATGGAGCATGGAAGCCAGCAAGAAAAGACACCACCATCCTCACGACCAAGCGCTCCGTTGCAGAGACGATGAACCGGCTATGCTCAGGTGATCATGAACATTGTCGACTTGAAGGCTACATGAAGGGACATGGCACTCATCGAACCTCATTCATGGAGGAGTACCAGCCCGCCTTCGCATCCACACTGGCTACTTCATTGGCCTGTTCAGAAAAGCCTCAAATCTGGGAAGGCTCCTTCGCGGTTCGTGAGCAGTCGCAATACCTGGGCAAGATCGTTGATCTTCACGCAGAAGGCAAGCAGAATGCTCTACGAGTTGTTCAGAAGCTCCACCGAAACCTTGGTCATCCTTCTGCTCAAGCCCTGGTCGATCTCCTTCAAGCCAGAGGCGCTTCGACTGATGTTTTGTCCGTGGCTGAGAACTACCTCTGCAGCTCATGTTTGCGCTACAAGAAACCAAATCAACCTGCACCAGCCAACGTGCAGAAGGCCGACCGCTTCAATCAGTCCATCCAAGCTGATGTCTTCTGGATCCGCACCGACAAGAAGAAGTGGCCGATCATGGCCATCTTGGATAGTGCTACGAAGTACCAGGCAGCATGTCAGGTCCAGACCGAGCAGACCCAGGACTACATCCTTTCTCTTGAGCGACATTGGATTGCTCATTTCGGTGTCCCAGAAGAGTTGGTGACTGATGAAGGTCGCGGCTGGCTTAGCAATGAGTTCATGGAATGGTCCGACAGCCACAGCATCAGCCATAAAGTTGCTCCTGGTGAAGCACACGAACGACTGGGTCAAGTTGAACGAAGACATGCAGTCTTGAGAAAGGCCATCGAGGTCTACATGCACGACCTGAAGCTGGAAGGAAGAGAAGGCATTCGTCAAGCCTTGACTTATATCCTGCCTCAACTCAATGCTCAGCCCACGGTTGCAGGATTCTCGCCGACTCAATGGGTCCTTGGCTATCAACCTGCTCAACCTGGTCTACTGCAGTCCAGTTCTTGCGCCCTGCACGAACACGAGACCTTCGAGAAGCATTTGCACCAACGCAATGTGGCCAAGACTGCAATCCTCCAGGCGGAAACTGATCGGAAGCTGAGACGAGCTCTCCTCCGACGCTACTCTGGCGTCAATCAACGGTTGCTAGCTGGCCAAAGATGCTTCTACTGGCGAGATGCGCAACAACATGAGCTGTGCAAGATTCGATGGCGTGGACCCGCAAAGGTCGTCTGTGTCGAGGAAAAAGACGGCAGCCCCCATGTCTATTGGTTGGCTCACAAGACACAACTCATTCGAGCTGCACCACATCACGTTCGAGCAGACTTCACTGCCATCGAAGAGACCGCTGTCGAGAACTTGAAAGATGCTGCATCCACGCTTCAGTCACTGAAGTCAAGAGGCGTGACCAGATTTCTTGATCTGAACAGGGCCAACAAACAAGACCTGCTAGATGTTGAAGAACACGAAGAAGAGATGTCTCCCGATGAAGGCCCAGAACACAAACGCCGCCGACTCGATGCAGCAGTCGATGACTCCTTGGAGGACTACACTCCCTCAGAGCCAGCGGAACCTACTGATGAAGTTGACACTCCGGGAAATCCATCTTTCCCAGCCGCTGCTCCTGCTGCCTCCACGGCTCCTGAACCTCCAGAACATCCAGCAGTACCAGAACACCTTTTACCGGCTGTTCCTGAACACCTGGATGAGATGTCCGATCAGCCGGAACCTTCGATTGAGCCTGAGCCTCCAAGTGTTCCTGCAACTCCGATGAACCTTGACCCTGTGACGTCAGAGGCCTACAGGACTCCAGTTGCCCCTGAGACCTTCGAGCAGCAACGACTTCGACTTGACAAGCAGGAAACCCTGTCCTTTGGTCCAAGACGACCACGGCATCATGAGCAACCAAGCCCTTACGCAAGGCCTCCTCACGAAACTGGTGAAATGGTGTTTGAAGTCCAGGACATTGACACGGCCAACCTTCCTCATGGCTGGACTTTTAACAAGAACAACAATTCCCTGGAGCTCAAACAAAAGTTAGCTGACTTCTGGGAAGTCAAGGGTGGATGCCTTATTCGCCATCACATACGACCACGGTCAAAGAAATTTCTTCCAGGCGACCAGGCTGATCTTCCAGTGCCCTTGGAGAAACTTGATGATGTCAGAGTCACCATCTTTCGTGAGCCAGGACAAGAACCTTCGGCGACCACCGACCACTTCAAGACGGAGAACGTGTTCAAGAGACACTCCAAAGAAGCCGCCAAAGGTTTACCTCCAAAGTGGGTTGGATGCACGATCTTTCAGATCAATGCCGTGACTCGCATGGAACTTGGAATGACTGCAACCTTGTCCTCTAGCTCTCCCACATCCGTGAAGCCCATCCGAAAGGCCGCTCAGCACATGAAGAACCAGCAGCTCCGACGCATCAAGAAAGAGAAAAGCAAGTCGGAAATCAAAGAAAAGAAACTCACACAAGCAGAACAACAGCTGTTCTTCGAGGCCAAGTGCAAAGAGCTTCGTAGCTTCTTCGAATGTGGCGTCTGGGAATTCACTACCTCAGACAAGGCTGAAGCAGATCGAACCCTGTCCAGCCGAATGCTGCTGAAATGGGCAAAGAATCCCGATGGCACTCCCAGGGCTAAGGCCCGATTGGTTGTTCGTGGCTACAATGATGCCGATGCCTTAGCTGGCAATTTGGACACCCAATCGCCTACGGCATCCAGATTGGCTCGCAACCTGCTACTCTCCATCTCTGCCATGTTGAGATGGAGTGGATGGTCCGCCGACGTGGCCACAGCATTTCTTCAAGGACTACCTCAACAGAGGCAGCTGTGGCTCCGACTTCCAAATGATTGCCTCCACATCCTTGGTTGCGGTCCTGAAACCCGCATGGCTTTGATCAAGCCCGTCTACGGACAGTTGGACGCCCCTCGTCGTTGGTGGCAAGAAGCCACGAGGAGACTGACACAGGAAGGGTGGACACCACATGACCTTGATCCATGCCTTTTTGTACTTCATCAACATCATGAAGATGGCTCCTCTGTTCCTTGTGGCCTGATAGCGCTTCACGTGGACGACATGCTTGGAGCTGGTGACCGCGGCTGTGCCACCTACATTGCAGCTGAACGACGCCTGAAGGAAGTTTTTGAGTTTAGAAGTTGGCAAGAAGATCATGAATCCATGGAGTATTGCGGTGTGATCCACAACCGAAAAGACTTCACCTGGAACCTGTCACAAAGCCACTTCTTGCACAAAGTGAAACCTGTGACTGTTCATCGAGGACGTGGCCCTGAAGATCCGATGAATGAACATGATCGAGGACAGCTACGAGCCCTCCTCGGAAGTTTGCAATGGCCCTCAGTCCAGTCACAACCTCATCTACAGGCTAGCTGCAGTTTGATCAGTGGACAACAGCGCACTGGCAAGCTTCGTGCAATCATGGAAGCAAATGCCCTTCTCAAGTTCGCCAAGGAACAAGCTGATGTGACCTTGAAGTATGAACCATTTGAATCTGTCAGCAACCACTCCGACCTCTCTAAGATCCGCCTGGTGGTGATGTTTGATGCCTCTCATGCAGCCCGGGAGGACTACACCTCTCAAGGAGGACACCTGGCGATCCTGGTCCCTGAAGAGGTCTTTGAAAAGGAGACCCCATACCATGTGGTTGATTGGCGCAGCTACAAACTGCCCCGAGTCGCACGTTCCAGTTTGAGTGCAGAGGCTCAAGCAGCTGGTGGCGCCAGTGACAGTGCCGAATACATCTGCAGGTTCTGGTCAATCATTTTTGACCCAAAGCCCAAGCTTCGTGAGCGACTACAAGAAGGTTCAGCCCTACGACCTACCTTGGTCACCGACGCAAAAGCTCTCTACGATGCATGGCATAAGGAGACCACCACCTCCGCAAGTTCTTCAGTGGACAAGCGCACCTACCTCGAGATCAAGGTGGCTAAGCAGCAGACAACTGACCTCGAAGGTTGTCTCAAATGGGTCAGCAGCGAAAGACAATTCGCTGATGGTTTGACAAAGAGCTCTACAAGAAGCCTGCTGGCTGATCGCTTGAGGCGACACCGCATCAAGCTGGCCTGGGATCCTCAGTACACCTCGGCCAAGAAAAAGAGCAAACAAGAACGCGAAGAAAGTCGGCAAGAGTTCGCTGACGCAAAAGTGAAGAAGAAGACCAACACGAAACAGCACAAACCACAACAACACCACCTCAACTCCACCGAACACCTTGAAAGTGTGCAGGAAGAGTCGAGCTTCGAGGATGAGGATGTCTTGCAGGATGAAGCCGCCGACACTGGACCTACATCATGGCCGAGTTCCAAGTCCTTGAGAACCCCTATGGCAATGATGATCTACTTCACACAGATCAAGGCTGTTACGGCAGAGTCCACAGGTGACTTCACGCAGTTGAAGCCAGACGATCTTTGTTTGGCTGGCGATGAGCCTGCTGAGGAATGGTCCATTTTGACCTACTTGTTCCTCTTCATCCTCTTCACCACCCTCGTTGTGAGCTACCTGACCTACAAGCTGGGCAGATTTCATGAGCACCGCCGACAGGTGAACGACCTGAAGGTCAAGTTGAGGGTGGCCCAAGCTCGAAATGAACGACACTTCGACAGTGCGTTGGATGACCAATGCCTGTTCTTCGACCGCCGCATCTCCCAGCTGGAAAACGATTTGGTGAAAGCTGCTGAGGCCAATGCGGAAACCCGCCGGCATCACAACGAGATGATGGAACAATGGCGCCTGGAACAGCAAGAAGCCGAAGAAATCGACCAGTCCTTTCGACAATGTCAGGCCTTGCTGTCGCGCTGCTACCGGGAACTCCTGGACCATTTTGATGAAGATTGCCCTCTCACCACGGGCACCCATGTGACGCCTTTCGGTCACACCTTCCACGTCCGAGCTGATTGCCACGGCCTGAAGCAGGCTCACCGTGTTGATCGACGTCCTTGTTGCGCTTTCTGCAACCCTACTCCTCAGACTCCTCACCGAGTCAATGGCTTGAGCGGCACCACGCTTCAGGAAGACATGATGTCCTGGAGGCGAGACTATGGAAACCTGCCATATGAGGAATGGATGGTCGACTAAAGTTTGAAGCTGGAGAGTTTCTCTTTTTTTTCATACACCTTTTACCGGTGTGAGTTTGCATGTGGCAAACCAAGCCACTTGACAGTATGGATGTTTCATGTGTGTGGCCATCATGGCCCGAATGCCCCTGTTTCCACCACTAGCGGTGGGCGATCGATCCTGACGCCAATGGCATTGTGAAAAGGGCGCGACTTCGCGTGCCGCCCGACATTTCGTGTTCGAGAACTTCGTGAGTTTCGAGCCTCCACTCGGTCCCCTGCACTTCCGCACCAGTGTCCGAGTGACAGAAGGATATTTTCCCACAACTTGCTAAGGAGGAAGATCTACCGATCAGCAAGTATCCACCTGGGATGCGGACAGAGAGAAGAGACTTGCCATTTGAATTTGGCTGCTCAATCGCACTTTGACCTTACATTTCCTTCAATGAGCCCAGCTGACATATGCCATTATGCGCTTGTCAATGGAGGTGATGTCCTGGCTGCGGCAGCAGCTGGACCGCTGGAAATCTCTATGGCTGCAGGGAGTCCAAGGAAGCAAGATGAAGTAGCTTTTTCTGGAGCATGTAGTTCGGAAACCGTTGTATTTCATGTATAATGAATTACCGACTTGGGCAACAGTCCACAGTCGATTCAGTGTTGGTTCCGACTGAACGTGTTTGAGGCTGACTTGCCTCGAGCTGGTCAGGGAGGTGGGATATTTGCTGAAAAATTGCACCGTGCTCACGCTGATTGGACCTGCAGATGGTGTGACAGGCTATGCAGCCGCCACTAGCCCAGCCCCAAAAGCACGTCGGTGGCAAAAGCGCTAGGAGATCATGGAGATCGTAGGACTCCTTAGGACCCATCAAAGAAATGGGAGGGTGAAGAACGCCTTCCCCAAAAACTGATTCGGACACATGTCTGGAGTTTGATCCAGAATCCGGACAGTGTGGCATCTGCTTCTTGCAGAGTTGGCATCTTAAAGAAGGAAACAGGCCTGCAGCAAGTGCACAGCTATTCAGCCTGCCAAATGCCAGCCCGTCCGGCACATATTGTAGCAAAAATGGCTTGTCCTATTTCCAGCTTTTGGCCAAAGGAACGGGTGGACGAGTAAGAAGAACACTGAGCAAGAGCCCCAAGTGGCTGCGTTGACAACCTGAGCCGTCATAGGATGCCCCGTGAGGCTTCGAAACACTTTGCATTCGTAGAGCGGCCTCATTGCCGCACATTGCCATGGCTTCACGGGACTTGGCCTTGGGTGCCGCCCTGGGTTTCTCGAGCGCCACCACGCTGGCCGTCGTTTTGATGCGGAAATACTTGCGTGAAGAGTTACGACCGCCCAAGCTGATCCACTCACCGGATGAGCGTCTTGAAGAGGATCAGAGGCTTTTAGAAGAGGTGAAGTTGTCCTTGCGCGACTATTGGCCACATCCGGTTCTGGAGTTTAGTGGCTACATGTCCACCTTCTATAGTGGCTTTTGGGCCGTCATGCCCTCGATGCATGGCACGGGATCCTTAGAAACGATCGCTCTCTCAGACGGTGGCGAAGTATCTCTTCACTGGTATGACCCTCCACGCGCTGAAACAGACAAAGTTCTACTGGTTCTGCCGGGGCTCAACAACAACAGCCGAACTAGCTTCGTCCAGGCCGGGCCTGCACGCCAAAACCGGATGCGATTGAGAGAGGCATTTGGAATATATGGAATCAAGCTTTATTGGGCATGGCATGGTTTTGAAACATGTTGAAGATATTAATGCTCGATGTTTGCTCAGTATGAGTAGTCGACTCAGCATGTTTTTTGTTTTTGGTAGGACTCCCCGTCAGGCCACCATGAGACACATCAGGAGCGAAGGTTTTCAAGCGGTTGCTCTGAATTATAGAGGCCTCACTAGCGACTTGAAGACTCCCAAAGTGGCCTCTGCTGAATCATGGGCTGATATCCATGAAGTGGCGCAGCATATATTGAAAGTGAAGCCCAACTGTGAACTATTTGGATTGGGTTTCTCCTTGGGTGGAGGAATGCTTTTGCGACACTTGGGCTTTGAAGGAGAGCGGACTCTCTTTAAGGCAGCTGTGACAGTGGCTGCGCCGGTGGATTTCACAGGGGCCTGTGCGGCTCTGGAATCCTCACGACGGAAGCTCTTCATCAACTTCATGATTTCGCAAGGTGCCAAGGCCTTCATGTTGCAGGGGCTTGTGAAATCCAAGTTCAGAGACCGTGTTGATCTCAAGCGCGTCTTGCTGGCCACACGGCTGAGCCAAATCGAAAGCGCTTTGATTTGCCCACTGATGGGCTATGCTACACCAGCGGAATATTACGAGGCCAACAATCCAAGGCCATTCCTTCACAAGGTCTCAGTTCCAACATTGGTGGTGAACGCAGAGGATGACCCAGTCATAAGTTTGCACACTCTTCCCTTCGATGAGCTGAAAAGAGACCTGGAAGGCACAAGAAAAACGACAAATCATCCACATTCTCGTTTGTTGTCGTCCTGCAGCGTTTTTCTTGGTCTTGAGTTTGAGTTTGTAGCTTGCAACAGCTCGCCATCGAAAGAGGAGCGTATTGAGTCATGCTCGGTCCTGGTCAGCATCCAAGGAAACCCGCGGATTTATGTGGCCGTGACCAAGCGTGGTGGGCATATCGGTTGGGGTAGTGGCGGCTTGGGCGCTGGTGCCTGGACGGATTCAATGGCAGCGCACTTTCTGCAGGCTGCAGGAAGGCGGTCTCAAAAAGCTTTTGATCGGTATCCGGTATCATTACTAGGGGCTCCTGGCTGTACTACTAGGAGCAAGGACGACGCTACTAGGGGCTCCTGGCCTTACTGC